AGTTATCAAGCAGTAGTGGTCAAAGATGTCCAGTTTCCGTTCACCTTCCACGCACATAGCCCAGCATTCGCAGCCGTATGGAAGAACAGACCGTACAGATGCACGGTACAGGTGGACCTTTGTGGAGATAGAAATATCGCGCCGGGTCCATAGGCACTTCCGAAGGCTGGAGAAAACTCGTGGAGCTGCGTCAGTTCGGGAGACAGTGTCGTCCTTACTCTGTCCATTCGGCAGCAAACTCGCCCCGAGATATTCGGAGCTGTCTACTTTAATTTGACAGCCAATAACTTCGAGGGGCAGAGATGTAGCATGAAAATACTTTTGCCTTCGCAGCGTTTATGGACAAACCGACCGATTTCGCGACCTCTTTCACCCACCCTAATAGCATTGCGCGCGTTAGCGTGATACGCAAACGCGCGCTTCACGCGCGCTTGGTTGTCGTTGGCTGGGATAATGACGTAATCGATAGGTGATTGGCTTATCGATTTCTTGCATGCTCCGCGAGCGGTGGACGCGTGCCCGCAGCTGGTGAGTACATGCAGGTGTGACAGTGGCGCCATAGACTTGAAGCCAAAGCTTGAAGCTAGTAAAGCGATATGCTCGGCGTAGTCGAGGTCAGTCAACCGGAGCCCCGGTGCAAGCTCAACACCGTAATTTTCTTGTAGGGCCTTCCCGATATCCCAGTTAGTGGCGTGGTTAAAGAGGATGGGCGACAGGACACAGTCTTGTTGAACGCTAGAACGAATAGCAAGGGCTTCTGAGAGGTTGTTGTGGACTATACCGCGCAAAGTGGTGGAGCGGTAGTATGCCTTGATCATGGCCATTATTTTTGGAATGCAGTAAAAGGCGGTTTTGAAGTCAATGAAACAGGCGATGGTTTTCTGTTGATGCTGGTGTCGGTCTTCCAGTATGTGGCGCAGAATGAAGATCTGGGCAGCACATCCTCTGGACGAAAGCCTCCTTAGTTAGGACGAGTGCGGAAATTGCGCTTAATCACAAATCTGTTGAGAAGAATGGTCGCAAACACTGTGGTGGCTATATCGATTGGACCAGATGGACATGCCATGGCGCTTCGGTAGGAGGATGGGCAATAATCAGTCAGTTGAGATGACTTCTTTAAACCATATAGTCAAGTACAGTCGATTAATTGATTTTGTCAAAGCAGAACAGCCAGGTTTGTGGACTTCCGCTGGGATACCATCCTCTCCCGATGCCTTCCGATCAATTCAATCGTCGCAGTACCGTCCAATTCAGATTTCGTAGAGGGCTCGCAGTCAGTATCGTATGAAATTCTAATTGATAGTTGTAGATTCGCTGATGGACATATAGGCGGATCCAGTAGCTCTCTAAAGTGCTCTCGCCATCGATCGATTCTACCAAGCATATCTGTTATTACTTGACTCGAGTTATCCCGAACGGTGGTGCAAGGCGGTTTATGTTTGCCAGTTGCTTTACGTAATAGGTAATAGAGCTCGTGAAATTTATCAGAGTTAGAAGCTGATTCCATGGAACCAACTAACTCGGTCCAATGTTTCTGACACCTTGCTAGTCGCATAGTTTGACGTCTCAATGAGCGGTAATTCTCTGAGTTGGATAACCGGGTGATCCGACCCGAGAGATAGAGGGTCGTCGTGGAGATCCATTCCTTTCTTGGCACTACTTGTTGCTGCAAGGTCGTATTAATCGCACTTTGTGTGGCGTCCCTCAAATGTGGCCACTGAGTATCAGGCGGAG